TAAAGCTGTTCATTTCTCACATTGCCATTGTTTTTGTTTATTAATATTCCAGTGAAAACTCGTGTTCCCTAAACTGCGCTAGAACAGGTGAACAGCTGCAGGGTTTTTTTGTTTTGCTTGTTTTTAGCCTTGGATGAACTGGTACTTAGTAACTATTAAGATGGAGACTATGGATGGTAACTGTATCTGACAAGACATCTGCCATGGCAATGTTTTCAGTAGGTACCTGGAGCCCTAATATTCACCGTACATTGCCCAGCTTTGGAGAATGCAGCATAATATTATGGTTTTATATAAATTTAAGGCCCCTGTTTGAAGGGGTCAAAAGTGGTGAGTGAATGTATTGAAGGACATGGAATTAAATTATTGATATGAGTCTAATAATTTGGAACACAGTGTTTTAGACATTTGCCCAAGAGAAAGTAGAAATGGTCTCATGTGCAACATTATTCCTTTTCACATAGCACCTCTTGGTGGCTTTGGGGAAACAGGTGAATTAAAAGGAAGGGAATATAAATAGTGATTCCCAATTTGTAAGAATGGCCATTAGCATAGTGTTGTTGATGTGATATAAAACATTTCATAAAATGGCAGGTTCTAGGAATGCAATGCTGTTAATTGAAAAACAGTTAATAGAGAAATAATTGCTATTTGCTGGCATCATTATCTAAAGGAGCCCTTTCCTAACTGCTCCAAACTACATTTTCTTATTGTTTTACTACTGCATGCTTTAATCTGGAAGCAGCTGCCATTCTGACAGGCTCTTTCTCATCTCATGTTATCTAGGGTGGAATTCAAAGGCTGATAGTGTGTTTGCCTCATTAGTGCTACTGTTTTTAAACATCTGCTGAAATCGAGCATACTACTTTTTCTTGAGTGACTCAATGCTCTGTATCTGACTACAGGTGACTACTTAATGATTTTTGTGTGATATTCAGCTACATGTTAGATAAATGGGATTATCAAACCGTTTGTCTCATCACACTCCAACCCAAGTCTTCTCCCTCCCACTGATTGCCTATTTCATATGATTTTTAACATATTTTAGCAAGATACCAAGGTTTTTCAGTACTGTACATCAGAGAGTACCTTCTTGATTGTCTTCATAGTCTCCTGTGTTTTTAGGGCTTTAAAAAAGACAGATTAGTCTTAGATGATATTTTAAATTTTCATAATGATTTTCTGGTTTTATGTTGTCCTGAGTTGGATGAGGTATCTGTGCATTGGTTCTATGTTTGTAGAGATATTTTAGAGGTGAAATGGAACAGGCAGGAACACATTTTGAAAACTGTTAACTGTTTTTGAGTGAATTTTGCCCTTCTGAGTTCTTCTTCCTTAAGGTGACTGTGTTCAAGAATCCCATAATTTATGAAATCTAAATCAATATTTATTGCTGAAAATAGAAGACAAACCATTAAAGTTTCTGGTCCAGGTCTGTATCAAACCATTGGTAGAATGCTGAGTAGTGATACCTGTACACACCTTCTCATCATGTTCTCTTCCATTTAGGCATTAGGTTCAGGAAATATATGTTTCACAATATACTGCTTCTCACTTAATCTACCTGCAGGTTCCTGTCATCAAGTAATTAAAATAATGAAAACTGGTACGCAGAGTGGGTAAAGATCCCTTACTTGTAATATTGAACTTGTAAATTATTAAACAAGCATCGTCACTGTCAGGTTATTATTTTAAGCATCTTTTTCAGGTGTTGGTGTTGGTTACTCAGTGCTTTGAGATGAGGAAATAGCAATGAAACAAGACTATACACTTAATAATAGGACTGAATTTTGTGTTCAGTATTAAAAGATAAAAGCAGCCTTTAAAACCTCCTTTAGTAATCTCTGCAAAATTGCATAATGACTTGGGGGATAAACTTTTCCTAATACTTAACTGCCAATTAAGGAAGATAAAAAGCTAGCCATGCAGATGAAAAATATAAAATATCCCAACTGAATACAAATATTACATAACAGCAACTAATCTGCATATTAATTATGGCTACAATAATGGCAAGATCTAGGCTGATCGTGAGATGTTGTTCCAAATCATACTTGGCAGGGGATGATTGTTTTACTTAAATTTTAATTAAGAAATAATATGGGTGGGAGATTTAAATAGAGGTGAAATAACTAGTATAAATACAGAAATATAGCCATTCAAATGTATTACAGACTTTAATACCTTCAGAGAATCAAATAATGAGTAGGTTTATCATGTTTAACTGCTCTATTCTATTGGCAACCAAAAGGCGATGCAGCAAAAGAACTGTAGGTTATGAAAACCTTTTCAAAATATAAAAGCTACCTTTCTCCTTCAATTAAGTAACTTGCTACTATTTCATTGAGTGCTAGGAAATTTAAAATTTTTTTTTAAGATTTTACGAGCAATCAGATTTTTGACAGAAAGATTGGGGGTAAAGAACATGTACACGAATTTTCTAACCTTAATACTTAAAAGTTCACTAACATAAAACGGACTTTTTCATTCAGCATTTTGTTCAATGATCTGTAGTTATGTGTTTTTAGCAGGTGTGCATCCATGCACTTTTAAACAAGGATTGCTGGGTGAAATGATCAAAAAAGACTCTGGTTTCACACTGATTCTGCCGATGACTTCTCTAGTGACTGAGTTAGGCACCTAATCAGCACCTCAGTTTCTTATCTGAGAGGAAGAGATAATTATACTTCCTTTACTATGAAAACCACATTAATTCATTCAGTATAAACTTGTACAGAGTATGAAAGCTCACTGTGCAATGCAGAGGAGGACCATGGTGCAAAATCTGGTGTGTGAAGCTTACAGTTCTGAAAGACAAGCTCTAGCAGTTACAAAAGGCAGAGAAACTGGTGGGAAGAGGGAAAGAAATGGCATGTGTAGTATTTTTAAGCAGTCTGTAGCTGTCAGGACTGTGGGGTCCCATGGGCCAGGGCCTTGCCCAGCGCCATGGCTGGGGTGGAGGGGCAAGGCCCTGGCCCGGGGACAGCTGGGGACAGCAGCCTGTGGGTCCAGCAAGGGGAACTGGCTGGGAATGGGCTGTGGGAGCCCTGGACAGGGCTGAAATGGTGTCCTGGGCCACCGAGGGCATCAGAGTGAGGGAAGAGCCTGGGGACAGCTGCTAGGACCAGTGAGGCCTTGCAAATGTCTAGGTTGCCTAAGCTTCAAAATTGTTTAGAGTATAGAGCCTAGTTTTCTCTTTCCTGGTTTATAATCAAAACTCTGATGGTGATGATTCCTTTGGGAATGATCTCTACGGCTTTGTGATACCAATTGTCTCCAGCCAAGCGTTGCTCTGCTGGAAATGCTTCTCTCCATGTCGTACATCGCTGTCCTCTGCAGTGAGCTCATTTCTGTAGGTTGTGCTCTGTGCGTGTGCAGCGCAGGATACGTCTTTCAATGCAAAACATCTGATTCACTGCGTCCAAATTTGTCAGTGAATGAGGTCCAGTTATGCAAATACAAAGTAATTTTAAACTTCTGTTGCATTATTTGCTTGGGAAGTGTACTGAATTACTGTTGTAACTCTGCATAATTTGTTATTATCGATGTAGTAACTCCACACTGTGCTGTAATCGCTAGTAAGAACATGGAGCCTGCTTTCTGGGAGGGAAACTAGCAGAGAAAAGAGAATCTGATTAGCTGATTAAGTTGCAATGTTGAGCTTCACTAAAAGCAACTGTTGGTCTCCATATTACATTTTTAGCGTTGTTCCACTGTTCTTTGCTGACAGATTCAATGAAATTGCTTTATTAGTTCAGTTCTACCCTCAGGAAGTGCCTGTCCCCTATGTCCAGATGTGTCCTCAAGGCTGTCTCACAGCTATGGGTTTTGAGCACCTCAGGGTAGCATTTCTACTGTAGTAGTAAACACATAACCAGCATCAAGCATCTATGCTTGTATGGAAGATATCCCAATGGGGATTAATGGCAATTGATTTCCTGCTTAGTGGCCTACAGACAAGTAATCTATAAACAAGATCTTTCAAGGTGTTGGTCTGTGCAGAGTGCTTGGAACACTAGTGCAGATGAAGTACTCAGGACTTGCTTCAGCGCTGAATTTTGCTGCCTCTCCTGTTTTTGTTTAGCATAACTTGTCAAGTATTCAGGAAGTCATTAGCATTGTGCTGTCACCAAAGGCATGCTCACGGCACAGTCTGATACTTTGCATGCAATATGATTTAAACACTGTGCAATCCATGCTGGCTTTCCCTATCATTTCCCTTGATGTTTGTGCAGCATCCATGACTGTAGCACATGGCAGGCAGTTACAGAGCACGACATCCTTGCTGCAGCATCCATGAGAGACTGATCTGAATTCCAGTGCATGTGACTCGTCAGTGAGCCTGGTGCAGCTGAGGCTCCTCTAATTTCTAGCTCTTCATCCTGTGAGAGCTACTTACTGACAGAATAATTCCTGTGATATATTAAACACTTTCATTGAAACACAGGTTCACTGATAGCATGGCAGCTCCCTGCAGATACTTTATGATGGATTTTTGTTCCCCTCACACTTGATAATTGCTGTCTTGTTACATCATGCTTCTCTGTGAAGGTTTACTCAGATAATTAATTCTAGTGATAGGAAATTAAAGTTGTACATAAATTATGTTCACACTTAGTATGCATTATTTTGAGCTGATACATCAAAAGGTCTTTCAGTTTATGTCTGACAAATTCATTTATATGTAACTCTGTAATTGCATATAGAGCTGTTGTCAATTATATTGCTTGTAAAGAAGGAACATATAGTATATTGGGGCTAAGTATCTGTTTCAAAGATGTAATGTCAAGGAGAGTATTATTTTTTAGTTAGTCTGGTACCTTAAAGAGCATTTCTATTTCTTTTATTTCTAAAGAGAAGTGGCCAAGTAGGTTCATAATTTCACCTAGCAGGGATCCAGGAAGATCGATTTTCTGGTTTTTATGCATTTCTTGGCCCTACCTATATACTGGCTTTCACCCTCAAATTGCTAAACATTAACTAACCCAAATACTTTGCAGGAGGCCCAGAAGATCAATGGTGGTGGAGATACACAGGCAGATGGAGCCTGCAAACCAACAGATGAAAAAGAGGAGAATGTGGCAGCAGAAGTGGGATGGATGACGTCTGTGAAGGATTGGGCAGGAGTCATGATATCTGCCCAGACATTAACTGGCAGAGTACTTGTAAGTTTTCTATGATTTTCTATGTTTTTATTTTAAGGAATGTTTTTTTAAGAAGCACTGTGTCCCAGCATTAGTGGAGGATTTTTGCATATAGGTTTGTTGCATCAGCACTGAGTCAATCCCAATTTTCTCTGCAAAATAGCAGATTAAGTACCACTGCAAGAGGGAGACAGAGACAGCAAATAGAAAAACTGCCAGTCCCCAGCCTATTTCACTGCTCCAGCCCCATGATTTTGAACTACAAACAACGAATTGATGAATTTCATATTAGGTGTTTAAACTATAGACCTATTTTATCTGAAAGTAAAATTGTGCTTGGAAGAATGGAAGCAAACTTGGAAAATAAGTGTTACAAAGGTAGAGAGTGGTCAGAACTGTAAATCAAAGACAGGATTGAATTGGCTATGCAACGAGATTTGTGATATATTTAATAGACTAATTATAATTTTATATTCTCTTAATATTTTTTTTTATTGGCATAGTAATCCTTCAAACCTGTGAACAGTTACCTATCAGATGATGATGATAATCTATGGTTTAAAGGGAAAAAAACGTTTTAGTTTTTCACTTTATTTAAACATATTTGCTTAAGAGCATTGTCAAATATTAAAATGCAAGGATTTTCTGCGGAGTTCACTTTAGTAAAAAGTGTCTCCTATGTAATTTTGATTATTTTTCTTTTTAGAATGAACATACTTATAAACTAGAAGCTAAAGTAATTTTATTCCCAATTAAAAATTCAGAGAATCCCAGTGAAACTTTGTAACTAGTTTGAGTTAAATTGAAAAAGGGGTTGTATCTTTGTTTACTTTGGTTGAGAGATATTTTACCATGGGTCAATTTTGGGCTATTAGAGTAATTATTTGGATGGGAGAAAGAATAGAGGAAAAGAAAATAGATTGCACTTCTTAATCGAGTCTTCTACAGCAAAAAGTTGAGGTGAGTTAATTTCCACTGTATTGTTTGGTTCTGCAAATGAGTGTTTTGATTATTTTTCCTAAAAGTACCATTCTTCACTTTTGTTTGTGTTAGTTGCTGACTTTTATCAATAGCTGGAAAGTGTGTTCCCTTGCTGCTTTTAGCACTGTGTGTTCTCTACATGCAGCTGCCATATTCACAGTCTTTTAGTGATTGTTTTCTAAAACATGGCATTTTGCATGTTTCCTGACATCTTCAGTGTTAAAAATGAAACTATAAATGAAAAGCCTTAAAGTCATGCTCCTAGTTCCAAAATAAGTATCAAGACTGAAAATCTCCCAAGCCAGAGTTCTCTGCTCCCACCTCTGCAGCGAGAGATTGGCCTGTGTTGATTTTACTGTGAATATTGTCACAGTTGTATGTGAACACAGATACGAACCAACAGTGGGGACCAAAACCTAACATACATAATATCAAATATATTTTACTTCAATATAGTGAAAGAACTTACTCAACACTGTTTGATGACTTAATTTATTTCTTTTGTGGTATTTTTTAGAGTTTACCCTTGCATTTTATAAGGGACCAGCTGGCCAATGTCATTGGCTTAGGTTATTTCTGGGAGTGTATTTATAGTCCTTTCAAGGCATAATGGCACATATTGTGCACATCTGGGTTTATCAATATGCCTAACCATCTGAGAAATAAGTAGTGATGTATGGAACCTCTTAGTTAATTTTGGTCAGTTCAGAAAACAAGATCCATTTATTTTAATATAACACTTATCAAATTCAGTATTTGAATTGACAGGATATAATTTATGGAGGATCATTTACAGAATGGACCATTTGGCTGTTCATTTAAATTTTACTTTCTGAGAATATTTGCTAAAGGCTAACTGCTTCAATTATGCTGTTATGCTAGAGCATAATATTCTTATTTTTAGATAAGATTCTTATTAAATAGATTTAATTATTTTTAGATATAGGATGTAGCAAAATCAAATCAGTATTTATGTTGAAGCGTATTGTTTGGAAATATTAGGACTTAATCATGGATTACTAATTTAATACACTCTGTTTCTACTATGCTTTCTGTTTACTATTGTTTCTGTCTCTATATTTCTGAATTGAAGCACAGATTTTGTTTTTCCCCTTGAAGAAGGAGGAATTGATGATTTCACAGTTCTCTGAAACCAAAATTGTATGAGATATCTGTAGAAAAGGAATTACAGTATACTTTTACACTGTGAGAGTTTAAATTAAAATTTTTATACATCCAATATTTACAAAAAGAAATTAAAAAGCAGTCCAGTGAAGGTGGACTTGGGAAGAGTTACAACTGAGCTTCAGCATGATCACCTGAAGCCTATTGTGGAACTGCTGCCTGGATTTATTTGGGAAGTGAAAGAGACAAGTTAATGCAGTGTGGAACACACATCAGTGTAAAGTAGAAGCTTATTTGTGTTTTCTCCCCATGGGAAAAGCTCCCATCATTATTCTTACTTGGACAGGCATTTTCTTTAAAATGAATCTTAGTGGAATGTCAAGTGCTGTTTGTGGAATCTAGAAGTAGGGCTGCTTTTTGGAACAGTCTCTTCTGGGTTCTGTCACCATATCTTTGACATGTCTGATGTAGCTTTTTATTTCTTCCCTAATAACCTTACAAAACAGCTTTCTAATTTATCATATTAGTTTGTCCGGGTGCTTTGTGAATATTGGAACAAATATTTAAATAGTGGGTGCTTCCATAATTACCTCTTTAATTTTCAAACTTTATGGGTACCCATGGGTGAAGAAAATAAAGGCCAACAGTATGGAAAATACGAAGCAATATACATGTATAAAGGTTGTAGCTTCATAGTGTAGTACAAGATTGGACATTTACATTGACATTGGACCATTTGTACAATTCTCTAGTGAAATAAAATATTTCTATTTATACAAAAGATGCAGCCTTGAAGGCCTTAGGCAACATTGTAGCCATAGAACTACTTGAAAACTTTTAAGTCAGAAAATACTTTTTTCCATCATAATTTACAGAATCATGTTTTATAGTGCATCTTCTGGAAAGTAAGGGATATTACTTGTTATTCATTGTCTGGGTCATTGGAGAAAATTAATGAAATTATTTAATCCATTCAGAGAAAAACACTGAAGTCTTTAATAGAGATGATTCCCCTCCACACTAGTTTTCTTAAAAATGTTTAATTCCTTGGTGGTTGTGAGGGAAGGAAGGGCTCTGTACCTGAAATAAATGTTGAAAAATCCCAACCATATTTGTCATTGCCTTTCCTCCCATTCCATTCATTAGAGGGAAAATTACTTTTAAAGACTAAACAAAGAGGAGAAATTAGAACCTTGTTTTTGTTGTTGTTGGGAGCATTGTGAGAAACAAGAATGAGAGGTGTTAAATAGTTATATTGAATTTTCAAAATATTTCACTGTCACTTGCTTGCCATTATGTCAACTGAATGTTTCCTAGGCTGTAATTCTTGTCTGTAAGAGATGTAAAAGTGCCATGTGCATGAGATTGTACTAATATTGAATTATTTCACTAGTTTATGTGAAAATAGTAAAGATAAAGTAGTGAAATAGAAATAAACATTCTTACTGCATTAGCAGCTAAATTCTATTCCTGACATTTCATAAGTGGTTTAGGCACAAAGAAAGACAATACCCAGTTTCATCTGAAGGGCAGGCTTTGGAGGAAGAGATTTGTATAAGGAGGTGGAGAGTGTCCTTCAGTTAGAGACTGTCTTTGTTTTTTGAAGTAGTGCAGCTGGCTAAGCATGGTGCCTCCAGTAGTGTGGCCAGAATATTCTTTTTTCCTCACACTTTACCTTTGAGAAGCACGATTGGAACATAATGTTCTCGATGCCACAACCTTTGAAAATGTGACTTTTGCTCTTAAACAATGTAGATGGGAATTTGACATAAGGTTTAAAAATGTGTCCGCGTTAAATTGCATAAGCACGTGATTTAAGAACACGCTAATTGAACCTGTGCAGTTCTGTCTGCATTTGATGTTGAGTGGCATAAATATAAATAACAGTAAAAGGTAACAGTTTACCTAAAATCTGTTCAGGGAAATACTCATTTACTTTGAAGTGCATTAAAATGCTGTAGATGATGGAAGTACCAGATTTCTGAGGTGGGTTTCTCAAAGAAGAATCAGACACATTCATAATTAATCTCAAGATGCAGGAAATTAAACATGTTTATGAACTGATTTTGCTTCCTGAAATTATATAATTTGAGTAAGAAGAAAAAGATTTCCTTAATTAGATGGAGTGCTTGATATACAGAAGAAAGTCATATGTATATTGTTGAATTTGACACAGTTCAGTCTATGGAAAGCTGTAGACCCTTGTCTGGACTTCTGAACTATTAAAAAATGGCAGAGGGCTTCACTACTCATTTAGGGAAAACAAGTGGATCTTTATATAATTATAGTAAAATTTCCTGGGAAATATATGTAGGTGTTTTATATGCTTCTTGGTTTTGTTTGTGTGTTTTGGTTTTTTTTCAGTATTTTTCACAACTAGATTTGTTCTTGCTGCTTTTTATTTACTTTTAAATTTTTTTATTCCAAATGAGAGGACTCAAATTCTTTTAATGTTGAGGGGGAAAAATCCCTCACAATCTCTTGTGATAAGTAATAGTTGTCTAGCTGCCAAAGTGAAATTAAACAGTTCAGAAATTGTGGGGTTTCTCCCTGTTTCCAAAGACAGTGACTGTTGTCTCATTACTCTAATGAGAATAGGAGCTCAAATATAATTTGATATTTGGCAGATAAGAAATTGGAGGAGCAGGTGTGGTTGATATGCATATACATTTTCTGACAGCGTTTTTGACAGTATCAGCTATTTCACTAGATTTTCAAAGCAGGAAGAGAAACCTTGGGGAAACATGAGTATGCAACCTCTCAGAATTCAAATATGAAGTTTAATAAGTTTTCTCAAGGATCAGCACAATTTGGACCATCTCATCCTGGAAATGTCCTGTAACCAATCTTTTTGTTAAATTAACATGCTTCTCTTTCCACCCCCCCCCAAGCATGTATAACGCTTTTAGGATGCA